TGCCTTTTCTCATTTTTTTTCGTTATTTTAATTAAAAGTTACGTAAATAATTGACTACATTGTTTCCGCAGAAATTATGATGTACGCTGTTTTTTCTTTTTTTTTGAAGTTTAGCACTATAAAAAATGAAAGCAGTCAATAAAATCTAATTAAACCAAGGCATACTGTATACGCATGGTGGAATAATACAAGGTGTTGGATATTGACAGCGTTCTCGCTCTAATCCGCCATCTTGGCTCCCTTAGCTATATCAGTGTTTCCCTCTTGAAAAAACTACATTTTATCGCCTTTAAAAAAGTACTAAACTACCTCATTCCCTATTCCAAAACCGATTCTTATCGTTGGCAACTGAAAATTAAATTAGAAATTTCAACATTAATTCGGCAAAAAAACATCGGTTTAGAGTTCTCCCCAAGGATTTGTAGTTATTTTGGTCGGTGCTTCCTTCCGCTGCAATTCCGTCTGTGGTTCACTGCCACTGGCCCTGCTTTTCCAACGATATAACTGTTTTTTTGGTAACTTCTACCGCTAAGACTTTGTTGCTTTTTCCCTTTTCCCTAAAAACATAATAGTGCTACAAAGCTCAATAACAATATGGAAACAAATGTTAATAAGCCACAATAATATTNCTTTTTGAAGTTTACCCCAATATAAAATGAAAGCAGTCAATAAAATCTAATTAAACCAAGGCATACTGAATACGTAGTGTGACTAGATCAGCCGATTTTTTAACTTTTTTGGACTCTAAAGTGTCGAATACTGTTAATTAAGTTTTCACAAAAATTCTTCATTGCCAAAATATATTTTCAAGCGAAAGGTTTTTTTTCTCAAACAATGAAGCGATTGAAACCCTTCTTTTGGAACGTTCGCTTAACTCAGGGGCACAAATGCTGATTATTGTGTGTGTCTTGCAAAGGATGCATGGATGATCCTGGAAGCAAAAAATTACACAAAAAAAAAATTTGCTAAAAGTATGTATTTTCTAATTGATTTTATTTTTATTTTTTATAACTCACATGACATACTATGATAAAAAAAACACAAAATACTTTTTTTGGCACTTTACAGAACAGAAGCAACTGGGTCATTCCATGTAAAAGAGGAAAACGACATAAATTTAAATATGCCCTAATTATCCCTATTTCCTCTGTTTAAATGACTTCATTTCATTAACCTGTTGGAAAATATTAAAAAAATAAAAAGAAGTCGTAGTTTTTTTCGATGGAAATTTTTATATCATGCATAAATACTTTACAGCAGTCATAAGTAGATGTCCCGCCAGTCTCAACTTTAAATATTTTTTAATATTTCTATGAAGATTATATAAACCTCTTTTATTGTTAAAGCAATTTAATACATTAATTATCGTGCAATGTTAAAAATATATTTCGCTGTTTTATATGTTTCGACGACATCGTTATAAGTCACCAGTCACAGTGGCATGACCCAACTACAAAAATCATTTAAATTTGGTTTTTGCTCTAATAGGCCTTATATGAAACTAAAATTAACAAAAAAAAATTTAGATGAACTCTCTTTTTTCAGCAAGGATTTCTCCAGTAAAAATATTTTATGTAATCTAACTATGTACTTACTTACCTTTATTTCATGTATAAAATCTGTTTCGTCCAGCAGATTTATCCGCACGGACATAATACGCGATGGTCGACAGAGGCAATTCATTTTGCTGCTGCCGGCTGTATGTTGACTGTACTGATTTTACTTCATATGTATGTATGTGCGTACATGCATACAGAAAAACCGAGGGGTATTGGTGTTACATTAGCGCTAAAAATCACTTTTATTTCTGCTTTTATCTTTTTAAAACACTCACTAAACTTTTCAAAACCGAATTTCTTTTTATTTAGTTACACACTTTTTAAAATTTATGACACTCAGAGGACACTATTTTATTGATTTAGTGATATTTGCACATCCTTCAATATACATAAATATGTATCACTAATTTATATCAATTCGTTGAATTTTTTATTTCAGTTCGATTTAATCACGCCCCATGGTTTATATCAGCAGCTTTGAATGCCTCCTTTAGCTGCATCTGTAAGCTGAAGAAATTAATGATATTAATATAATAATTAATTAACAAAAATTTATTAACTTAAAAATAATTTTTTATATTGTTTATGAATCTGCTAAGCTCGAAATATGTGAAACTAAAATGCAAATATCTGTGTTGAACCATTATTTAAAAGAGAAAAATATACTTCTCTAAAGTGGGTAAATATCCGGACGTTGCTAAAAAAAATTAATATGTTATATAAGGCCTAGTACTGTAATGAGTTAAAAAAAAAAAACCGGAAAATAAGGGAAATGTCGACATACAACTACTAACATAAATAGTCCCCAGAATTTCTCATTAAGCTGAGTGGAATTTGTACAATACAATAAAGTGCTGATCTCGTTTGTTGCTAGACAAATATTTTCTCAATTGCGATTGCTTGAAGTTAAGCGAAACAACATCAAAAACATGACCTGACCAATCCCATAAAAAAAGTGAAAACAAAACAACAATTGAAATAAATTCAGTTGTTGCTACAAGCGTGAGGAAATTAAAGCAGCATTAAATAAGTAAGTCTGTATTTGCATATGTTTTGGATCGCATTGGCAGTTAGTATCGTGAAAATGCTACAAGAATTTTCTCACCCTACCCAGAATAGAACCATTTATAAAATATATTACACTGGGAAACAGTGGTTTTGGTGCCAAGAAGCTATACTGCTTTTTAACTTAGAATGCATTTGAACACATTAAGACAACTTCTACGCGATGAAGAAATGAAATGAAAATCGATTTATTTATAGAAATTGGACTGTAAACTGCTGTGGAGGTGCAATGTGGAGGGCTTCTTAAATATTGCAAAAAACGCGATTTTTTAGATGTTGACCCCATTTTTCTCAAAATATGGAAACTTTGTTCTTACGGATTCGTAATAAGCGCAAAAAAGTCTACCAAAAACTGCTTTAACATTTGCCCCAACAAAATCAGCGTTACCTTGGCTAAACGGCTATTCGAATAAAAATATATGACAGCATTTTTTGGTTTTGATAATGGTCATTTACTAAGTATTTATTTATACA